AAGCGTGAAGGCGAGGGCAGGGAGGGGGGCATGGTTGGGAGGGGAGTTCTGTGTTAGGGGCAGGTGTTGGGAGGGGGCAGGTGTTGGGGGGCAGGTGTTGGGAGGGGCAGGTGTTGGGAGGGGCAGGTGTTGGGGAGGGGGCATGGTGTGGGGGGGCAGGTGTTGGGGGCAGGTGTTGGGGGGCAGTGTTGGGAGGGGGCAGTGTTTGGGGGGGGGCGGTGTTGGGGGGCAGGTGTGGTGAGGGCAGGTGTTGGGAGGGGCAGGTTTTGGGAGGGGCAGGTGTTGGGGGGGGCAGGTGGTTGGGAGGGCAGGTGTTGGGGAGGGCAGGTGTTGGGGGGGCAGATGTTGGGAGGGCAGGTTTTGGGGGGGCAGATGTGGGGGCAGGTGTTGGGAGGGGCAGGTGTTGGGGGGCAAGGTCTTGAGGGGGGCAGGTGTTGGGGGCGCAGGGTGTTGGGAGGGGGCAGGTGTTGGGGGGCAGGTTTGAGGGGGCAGGTGTTGTGGGGCGCAGGTGTTGGGAGGGCAGGTGTTGGGGGGGCAGATGTTGGGAGGGCAGGTGTTGGGGGGGCAGATGTTGGGAGGGCAGGTGTTGGGAGGGGGCAGGTGTTGGGAGGGGGCAGGTCTTGAGGGGGCAGGTGTTGGGGCGCAGGTGTTGGGAGGGGGCAGGTGTTGGGAGGGGGCAGGTGTTGGGGGGCAGGTGTTGGGGGGCAGGTGTTGGGGGGGGCAGGTGTTGGGAGGGGGCAGGTGTTGGGGGGCAGGTGTTGGGAGGGGGCAGGTGTTGGGAGGGGGCAGGTGTTGGGAGGGGGCAGGTGTTGGGGGGGCAGGTGTTGGGAGGGGGGCAGGTGGTTGGGGGGCAGGTGTTGGGGGGCAGGTGTTGGGGGGGCAGGTGTTGGGGGGGCAGGTGTTGGGGGGGCAGGTGTTGGGGGGCAGGTGTTGGGAGGGGGCAGGTGTTGGGAGGGGGCAGGTGTTGCAGGTGTTGGGAGGGGGCAGGTGTTGGGGGGGCAGGTGTTGGGGGGGGGGCTGGTGTTATGTCAGACTCTTACTAGTGTTAGTTTCCTGCTGTGTTTTTTAGATGTGTTTTCTAGATGTTGTGTTTTCTAGATGTTGTGTTTTCTAGATGTTGTGTTTTCTAGGTGTTGTGTTTTCTAGGTGTTGTGTTCTCTAGGTGTTGTGTTTTCTAGATGTTGTGATGTGTGAGCTGTACAAAGTCTTTCCTCTTGTAGGGCAATAAACGTGAATCTGAATATGAATGATAGAGTGTTATACAGGGAAACTGTCTGGGTAGCCAGTAGAGAGAGGCTCTCTCCTCTTACCTTAGCTCAGGGTACACGTTCTCCATATACCAACGGAAGGACTTGCAGCTCAGTTTGCGTCTCAGAGTCAGACGGTCTGCAATGCTGCCAAAGGCCTTGCCCTGCGCTGAGGGCCTTGCTAAGTAGTAGTACTGTTTAAACTCATCCATCCACACCTCTGCTGCTCGACGCGTGTTCCTGACGACACACACACACACACACACACACACACACACACACCTGGTCAGGTAGGATAATAACACAGCAGCATTGTGCATTCCTACAGTACAGAGGAAGGTAGACAGTACAGAGGAAGGTTGACAGGACGGTACAGAGGAAGGTAGACAGTACAGAGGAAGGTAGACAGTACAGAGGAAGGTAGACAGTACAGAGGAAGGTAGACAGTACAGAGGAAGGTAGACAGTACAGAGGAAGGTAGACAGTACAGAGGAAGGTAGACAGTACAGAGGAAGGTAGACAGAACAGAGGAAGGTAGACAGTACAGAGGAAGGTAGACAGTACAGAGGAAGGTAGACAGAACAGAGGAAGGTAGACAGAACAGAGGAAGGTAGACAGTACAGAGGAAGGTAGACAGAACAGAGGAAGGTAGACAGTACAGAGGAAGGTAGACAGTACAGAGGAAGGTAGACAGTACAGAGGAAGGTATGGCTAGTGTCTGGCTCTCTAGTCCAGCCTTTTCAAACCTCTCCTCTGGGACCCCCAGACATTTCACACCTCTCCTCTGGGACCTCAGACGTTGGGGGTCCCCGATGAGAGGTTTGAGAACGGCTGGGGGTCCCTGAGGAGAGGTTTGAGAACTTCTGGGGGTCCCTGAGGAGAGGTTTGAGAACGGCTGGGGGTCCCTGAGGAGAGGTTTGAGAACGGCTGGGGGTTCCCGAGGAGAGGTTTGGGAACGGCTGGGGGTTCCCGAGGAGAGGTTTGGGAACGGCTGGGGGTCCCTGAGGAGAGGTTTGAGAACGGCTGGGGGTCCCTGAGGAGAGGTTTGAGAACGGCTGGGGGTCCCTGAGGAGAGGTTTGAGAACGGCTGGGGGTTCCCGAGGAGAGGATTGAGAACGGCTGCTCTGTCTGTCATAACAGAGTGTAGCCCAGCCCACTCACTTGATGTATGTGAGAGCATTGCCCTCTGGGAAGTCGTAGGGGTGACGTTTCCTGAAGACGTGCCCCACCCTGCTGCAGGGCAGAATCTCCAGGCTCCCGCCACACATCCACACCCTGAACGACAGCTCTGAGGAGAGAGGGACACAGTGGTTACAGTGCATTCGGAAAGTATTCAGACCCCTTGCCTTTTTCCACATTTAGTTATGTTACAGCCTTATTTTAAATTGAATTAAATAATTTTTCCCCCTCATCAATCTACACACAATACCCCATAATGACAAAGCGAAAAACTGGTTTTAAAAAAAAAAAAAACGGAAATACCTTATTTACATAAGTGTTCAGACCGTTTGCTATGAGACTCAAAATTGAGCTCAGGTGCATCCTGTTTCCTTTGATAATCCTTGAGATATTTCTACAACTTGATTGGAGTACACCTTTGGTAAATTCAATTGATTGGACCGGATTTGGAAAGGCACACACCTGTCGATATATGGTCCCACAGTTGACAATGCATGTCAGAGCAAAAACCAAGCCATTAGGTCGAAGGAATTGTCCGTAGAGACAGGAATGTGTTGAGGCACAGATCTGGGGAAGGGTACCAAAACATTTCTGTGGCATTGAAGGTCCCCAAGAACACAGTGGCCTCCATCATTCTTAAATGGAAGATGTTTGAAACCACCAAGACTCTTCCTAGAGCTGGCCGCCCGGCCAAACTGAGCAATGGGGGGAGAAGGGCCTTGGTCAGGGAGGTGACCAAGAACCCGATGGTCACTCTGACAGAGCTCCTCTGTGGAGATGGGAGAACCTTCCAGAAGGACAACCATCTCTGCAGCACTCCACCAATCAGGCCTTTATGGTAGAGTGGCCAGATGGAGTTTGCCAAAAGGCACCTAAAGGACTCTCAAACCATGAGAAACAAGATTTTCTGGTTTGATGAAACCAAGATTGAACTCTTTGGCCTGAATGCCAAGCGCCACGTCTGGAGGAAACCTGGCACCATCCCTACGATGAAGCACGACCCTAAGCACACAGCCAAGACAATGCAGGAGTGGCTTCGGGACAAGTCTCTGAATGTCCTTGAGTGGCTCAGCCAGAACCCGGACTTGAACCCGATCTAACATCTCTGGAGAGACCTGAAAATAGCTGTGCAGCGACGCTCCCCATCCAACCTGACAGAGCTTGAGAGGATCTGCACAGAACTCCCCAAATACAGGTGTGCCAAGCTTGTAGTGTCATACCCAAGAAGACTTGAGGCTGTAAACGCTACCAAATGTGCTTCAACAAAGTACTGAGTAAATGGTCTGAATACTTATGTAAATTTGATTTTTCAGACTTTTATTTTTAATACATTTGCTAAAATTTCTAAAAACCTGTTTGAACACACACACATACACAGTCTGGTCTGCCGACACACATCCACCCTGAACGACTGCTCTGAAGAGTGACACCAGGACAGACAGACAGACAGACAGACAGACAGACAGACAGACACAGACAGGATATGTGTTATATTTATAGGAGATTATACACAGGACACACACACACAGAGAGAGAGACCATTAACACATTAATAACCCTTTAAAACCTCCCTATCTTCTTGTGATTGATGTGTACCAGATGGAGTACGTGGTCATCTGTAGCAGGGGAACTCTGCCAATGAGAGGTTAGGCTAATGCAGATCAAGACAACTAGTTCTGTTGGAAGACCAGACTTAGTGTGAGACGCTACTGTCCAGGCACCCATAGACAGCTTGTTCAGTTCTAACGTGCCACCAGACTTTTATTAAGCCAGACAAGCTCCAACAGACGTATTTCAGAATACAAATGATAGAATTTACATTCAAATAAAGGGCATGATGATCTCCCATTTTAATCCTGATGTAGCAAGATTGGGTTACTGACAGCCTAGGTCTGGTCAAATTAAGATCGCACATCTGTATTTGAAGCAATTTCTCAAGCAAAACTCAGGTCTGCATGCCACAAAAACCAATGTGTTGGTATCTCTGAGGTCCTACCTAAGGGCCGTGGCGGTCCTGAAATTCTGTCATCCGGTGATTGTCAAGCAAGTGGTGACTCCTTGCTGTCCCCAGTCCGCCTGGCCTTGCTGCTATTCCAGTTTCAACTGTTCTGCCTGCGGTTATGGAACCCCTACCTGTCCCAGACCTGCTGTTTTCAACTCTTAATGATCGGCTATGAAAAGCCAACTGAGAATTATTCCTGATTATTATTTGACCATGCTTGTCACTTATGAACATTTTTGAACATCTTGGCATGGTTCTGTTATAATCTTCACCCGGCACAGCCAGAAGAGGACTGGCCACCCCTCATAGCCTGGTTCCTCTCTAGGTTTCTTCCTAGGTTTTGGCCTTTCTAGGGAGTTTTTCCTAGCCACCGTGCTTCTACACCTGCATTACTAGCTGTTTGGGGTTTTAGGCTGGGTTTCTGTACAGCACTTCGAGATATTAGCTGATGTAAGAAGGGCTATATAAAATAAAATTGATTGAAAATTGAAATAACTGCCGGTCTCACGGTAATTGACCGTTAATGAACATAAACACATTTAGCATCTCCTGTCTTCCACTCATAGCCTACAAGCCACTGATGCAGACCTTTGGAACATCTACATAAAAAAAGTCTAATAAATCCATGTAATATAGCTTACACCTTCACAATAAATCCATTATTTATTTTAGACAGGTCTAAAGAAACATGATATGAAGAAAATGTAGTCTATTTCAGAAGAACAGAATAGCATACTCTGAGTTGTCCTTATGTTCAGTCCTGATATGGCTATGCCATATGGCTGTGGGCTACACTAGTTAATTTAGCAGATAAGATTTGCTTAGAATTCCGTGGCATTATTTTTAAAATTATTTTATAGTATGAAGAATACAATTGAACAAAGCTGAATAAAATAGAAAGGATATTTTCTGCAAATGATTTCAAAGGAAGTGTGCACATGCGGCTATTCTGTGTTGAGCGGTTAACAAAGAAACTGGTCTTGCTATATGCTTAATTTAGACGTATTTATGCAACTTTAGTTGTGATACAAATGTTGGGTTGTATGTTTTGATTTTTAATACATTCATGATGAGACTAATGATGATTGGAAAAAAGTCACATGAAAGGCATGAGCTCTGCTTTGTTTCTTGTTGTACACACTTCATCAGTCACTCATTCTCAATTTGACAAGCACTTGATGATATTCTCACACCATGCCCCCTAAAAAAATCCCTTTTGCGGCCAAAGTGGATGAATAGAATAATTACATTGGTCCCCCTGTAGCTCAGTTGGTAGAGCATGGCGCTTGAAACGCCAGGGTTGTGGGTTCGATTCCCACTGAGGGCCAGTATGAAAAATGTATGCACTCACTAATTGTAAGTCGCTCTGGATAAGAGCGTCTGCTAAATGACTAAAATGTCAATTGGATCACTAAAAAAATACAGTGCCTTGCAAAAGTATTCATCCCCCTTGGTGTTTTCCCTATTTTGTTGCATTACAACTGTCACGGTTTCGGCCGAGGCTGCTCCTCCTCCTGGTTCGGGCAGGCTTCGGCGGTCGTCGTCCCCGGAGTACTAGCTGCCACCGATCTATGTTTCATGTTCGTTTGGTTTTGTCTTGATGTTGTACACCTGTGTCTTGTTAGTCCTCGTTAGTGTCCTATTTAGTTCTCGTTGGTTGTGTTTGTCTTTGTGTGTGATTGCTCTTCTGTTTCGTGTTGGAGCTACTTATTTCTCTCCAGTGTTTTGGAGAGGTTCTTTTTGCACATGTTAGTGCGCCGTTTATTTGACGCCTGTGTGCGCCGTGTTTTCGCCTTCGGGCTTATTGTGCTTATTTCTTTTCGTGAATATTGCACTAAAGTCTTTTGGACTGAGCCTCTGCGTCCTGCGCCTGATTCATACACCACACCCACCTTCAGCACCCATTGACAACAACCTGTAATTTAAATGGATTTTTATTTGGATTTCATGTAATGGACATACACAAAATAGTCCAAATTGGTGAAGTGGGAATGAAAAAAATAACTTGTTTCAAAGAATTCAAAAAATATATATAACGGAAAAGTGGTGGGTGCATATGTATTCACCCCCTTTGCTATGAAGCCCCTAAATAAGATCTGGTGCAACCAATTACCTTTAGAAGTCACATCATTTGTTAAATAAAGTCCACCTGTGTGCAATTTAAGTGTCACATGATCTCAGTATATATACACCTGTTCTGAAAGGCCCTAGAGACCACTAAGCAAGGGGCACCACCAAGCAAGCGGCACCATGAAGACCAAGGAGCTCTCCAAACAGGTCCGGGACAAAGTTGTGGAGAAGTACAGATCAGGGTTGGGTTATAAAAAAATATCCCAGCATCATGCTGTGGGGATGTTTTTCCATCGGCAGGGACTGGGAAACTGGTCAGAATTGAAGGAATGATGGATGGCACAGGGAAATTCTTGAGGTTTGAGACTGGGACGGAGGTTCACCTTCCAGAAGGACAATGACCCTAAGCATACTGCTAAAGCAACACTCGAGTGGTTTAAGGGGAAACTTTTAAATGTCTTGGAATGGCCTAGTCAAAGCCCAGACCTCAATCCAATTGAGAATCTGTGGTATGACTTAAAGATTGCTGTACACTAGCGGAACCCATCCAACTTGAAGGAGCTGGAGCAGTTTTGCCTTGAAGAATGGGCAAAAATCCCAGTGGCTAGATGTGCCAAGCTTATAGAGACATACCCCAAGAGACTTGCAGCTGTAATTGCTGCAAAAGGTGGCTCTACAAAGTATTGACTTTAGGGGGGTGAATAGCTATGCACGCTCAAGTTCAGTTTTTTTTTTTTTTTTTCTTGTTTGTTTCACAAATTTTTTTATTTGCATCTTCAATGTGGTAGGCGTGCTGTGTAAATCAAATGATACAAACCTCCCAAAAATCAATTTTAATTCCAGGATGTAAGGCAAAAAGGGTGAATACTTTCGCAAGCCACTGTAGAATTCCCTTCTCCCAGCTGCCATGCTCCGAAGCACCTCTCACTCACATGGCTCTCTAAGATATCTCAATTATTATTAGCCAATGCGCGTTATGTGATCGGGTCCTTCTCACAGGCATTTCAGCTAAGAAGTAGGCTACAAGTGAATGAAGACAGACACATCAACTGCGGACGTCCATATTTAGCCTACTTTTAGTCAGCCAACAAGATGAGTAGGCCTAACGAACCGCAAAAGCACTAGCCTATGGCAATCTAGTATCCCCCATTGTACAAAAGTTGACCCATTCTATTGGTGAACTTGTCCTTCTGTGAAATAAATAAATATTCCAAACGTACTCTGAGACAGTTGTGGATGCGATAGATCCCAAATTAATACAACCACTAGCATCAAAACAACTTAAGGTAGAGCACGGCGCTTGTAACGCCAAGGTAGTGGGTTCGATCCCCGGGACCACCCATACACAAAAAAAATAAAAATAATGTATGCACGCATGACTGTAAGTCGCTTTGGATAAAAGCGTCTGCTAAATGGCATATTATTATTATTATTATAAAAGCAATTGTCTTTACATATACTAAATAATATATGTGGGAAATTAGTTTTGATTTAGAATGTACCATTTTCATGCACCTGTCTCGGAACAAGGACATGAAAAAAAATATATATACATGTCATCTATGCACTTAAATAGCAAATGGAGGACGCTTTTCCCGGGATTCATTTTCATGCCAGCCAGGTAGGCTATACTCCTGTTGTGAAGCGAAGCAATGTGCTTAATATTAGGAAAGTTGAGAAATAAATATAGTAGGCCTAGCCTATAGAAAGCTGATGGGATCCTCCTCTTTTTAATAGAGGCCATCAAAACTCTGTTTTCTCACGTAATTCCATAGCCTGTAGAAATGTTGCGCAACATGAGCTCATGGACTCTCATGAAGTGTTTGATTAGATTTTCGATTCCATTTGCATTGATGTCAGAGTGATTAGAGGGACAATAGAGTGCTGAGTACCAGGCAGTTAGCAGGTTTGGTAGGATACTAATGACCATCAGCAGCATCAGATCTTGGAGAAGCCTAATTACCGTGACTAAATGGGCACGTGGAATTTGACTGCCGTCATGACTCGTGATCGTCGGTGTGGCGGTAATACGGTCACCGTGACTGCCCTAGTCCTACTGTATATCCTCCGGTATATACCAGACTTCCTGTCTCTCTATCTGTCTGTCTGTGTTATGTGGGCAGCTTGTCTCTCCCTTTTCTGTTTCCCTTCCTCCTTGTTTTGTCCCCTCTTTGTCTGTTGTATCTGTATGTGTGTTTGTCCCCTTTATGTGGGTGTGTCTGGAGTGGATCAGGGGGCGTGCTCAGGATCTGCCTCTCCTGTGCAGCTGCGGGTTGTTTCCAGTGATTCCTGCCTACGCAGCTGCATCCTATTCTCTCATCAACCTGCACTACTTATTCCTGGGCATGGCTCTCCACCGGCGCCAGATCGTTGTTCTTACTAGAGCGGTAACTTGGCTCACCAGTAAAGTTATATTATCTTAGTCTTCAGCCTGGCTTTTTACTCTCCTTAACCTGTCGTTTGTTTTTTCTTCAGTTCAGACATACCTCCCTGCCTGCCTGCCTTCGTGCCTGCCTGCCTGCCTGCCTGCCTCAGCCTCTCCTTCCTCCGGAGCCGACTAGCCCACTCTGTTCCTTTTTCTTCAGTTGTTTTTTGGACTATGACAAATTGAACTTTTATTAAAAATATTTTTGTTTCCTCCACTCCCTTAGTCGTGTTTGTTTCTCTGAGTGCTGGGTTGAACCATAGCGTAACAGTCTGTCAGTAGCTCACAGTCATCTCTAAAATGAGAAGAACGTACATCTGGACATTTTGTTCTCCCTAGATATCTAATCAGATGGGACAGAGACTCATCTCAGTGAATTAAACAAAGTCACACCCACTCAGTGAACTCACCAAAGTTCTCTCCGCCCCAGATGTCCATGTGAGTGTCGTATTGCCCCAGGTGGTTAAACCAGCTCTTGTCCATCACAAAGATCCCTCCTGCAATCACTGGAGTTCTATAGCAGAGGACAGACAGACAGACACACAGAGGACAGACAGTCAGACAGACAGAGGACAGACAGACAGACAGACACACAGAGGACAGACAGACAGACAGACACACAGAGGACAGACAGTCAGACAGACACACAGAGGACAGACAGTCAGACAGACACACAGAGGACAGACAGACAGACACACAGAGGACAGACAGACAGACAGACACACAGAGGACAGACAGTCAGACACACAGAGGACAGACAGACAGACAGACAGACACACAGAGGACAGACAGACAGACAGACACACAGAGGACAGACAGACAGACAGACACACAGAGGACAGACAGACAGACAGACACACAGAGGACAGACAGTCAGACAGACACACAGAGGACAGACAGTCAGACAGACACACAGAGGACAGACAGACAGATACACAGAGGACAGACAGACAGACAGACACACAGAGGACAGACAGTCAGACAGACACACAGAGGACAGCCAGACAGATACACAGAGGACAGACAGACAGACACACAGACACACAGAGGACAGACAGACAGACAGACACACAGAGGACAGACAGACAGACACACAGAGGACAGACAGTCAGACAGACACACAGAGGACAGACAGTCAGACAGACACACAGAGGACAGACAGACAGATACACAGAGGGACAGACAGACAGACAGACACACAGAGGACAGACAGTCAGACAGACACACAGAGGACAGACAGACAGACACACAGAGGACAGACAGACAGACAGACACACAGAGGACAGACAGACAGACACACAGAGGACAGACAGACACACAGAGGACAGACAGACAGACACACAGAGGACAGACAGACAGACAGAGGACAGACAGACAGAGGACAGACAGACACACAGAGGACAGACAGTCAGACACACAGAGGACAGACAGACAGACACACAGAGGACAAGACAGACACACAGAGGACAGACAGACAGACAGACACACAGAGGACAGACAGTCAGACAGACACACAGAGACAGGACAGACAGACACACAGAGGACAGACAGACAGACACACAGAGGACAGACAGACAGACACACAGAGGACAGACAGACAGACAGACACACAGAGGACAGACAGACAGACAGACACACAGAGGACAGACAGACAGACACACAGAGGACAGACAGACAGACACACAGAGACAGACAGACAGACACACAGAGGACAGCGACAGACAGACACACAGAGGACAGCACAGACAACAGAACAACAGACAGAGGACAGACAGACAGACAGACAAGAGAGACAGACAGACAGACAGACAGACACACAGGACAGACAGACAGACACACAGAGGACAGACAGTCAGACAGACACACAGAGGACAGACAGACAGACACACAGAGGACAGACAGTCAGACAGACACACAGAGGACAGACAGACAGACACCACAGAGGACAGACAGTAGACAGACACACAGAGGACAACATAAGACAACAGGACGACAGACACAAGAGCCAACAGACCACAGAGGACAGACAGACAGACACACAGAGGACAGACAGCAACACACAGAGGACAGACAGACAGATCACACAAGGACAGACTCTAATGACAGACACACATATTGAGCAACATGTAACACAGAGGTACACACACAAGACAGACACAAGGACGACGTTACAGGACAGCACAGAGACAACAGGCTTTATACAAGAACCAGACAGACGCAGACACAGAGATTACAGTTCAAAAGTGACTTAACACACCAATAGAACACAAGGCTTCATAAGGATCAATCCCACAATATATTATATATCAATTATATATATATTTTATATTTCCATCTAATGTTATTCGTTACCACCATTTTGGGGGGTTTAAAGCGTTAGGCCAGTAACCGAAAGGTTGCTGGTTCGAATCCCAGAGCCAGCAAGTTGGAAAAATCTTTCTGCCCTCGAGCAAGGCAGTTAACCCCCAACATCAACCGCTCCCCGGGCGCCGATGACGTGGATTAGGGCAGCCAGCTCTCTGATTCAGAGGGGTGGGGTTAAATGCGGAAGACACATTTTGGTTGAATGCATTCAGTTGTACATCTGACTAGGTACCCCTTTTTTTTAAATCTTTTTTTTTTAGGGGGTAGATCAGCTTTAATATTGCAGATAGATTGTGGCTTCTATCAATGTAATTGTCTGCATCATTTCCGATCCCCCATATATATATATTCTTTTAAATATACTTTCCTTTATTATTTTCCCCTAATCCTACCACCCCTCCCCTAATTGGAGTAAACTAATGGACAACAACACATAAGCTTCTACTTCCAGCTTATACATACTATGTACATTTTACAGACACAGTATATTTTACATTGGTTATATTTTGTTTTTTATTTTTAGTCCCACCCTTCTGCTCCCCTCAACCCCTCCCATCTATCTCCGAACACCATCCAGGTTATTTTTCAACTGTGCGGTGATGTTTCACAACATTTCTGAACCTTTCTATTCTCATAGTTTCTACAGATTGTAAATTAAAGATAACAATTTAAGAGTATTATATTATTGATCGATTTACTTTTCAGATCATCCAGCAGTGCTATTTGCAGAGTTAACTCCAGGTAAATGTTTCAATTCTCCAGCCATTGCTGAATCTGTGACCAAAAACAAGCTACATATGGACAGTACCAAAACAAATGATCTAATGATTCTGGTTCTTCACAGCAAAATCCGCAGATATGGGATTGTTGCATCCCACATATACATTCTATTGGTTGCAAGAATTTTGTATAATAACTTGAATTGAAAAACTCTCCGGCATTGTTTTGTGTATCAGTTCATAAACCATGTGCCATGGAATCGGTACATCGAAAATGTCTTCCCAACTATTTTGCAATCTATATGGGACGGCTGTCATTCCTTTGGTCCTTAAATGAAACTGGTATACTTTTTTATTTATCACAATTTTCTTTAACCAATTTTGGTCTTAAATGCCGGGCCGACAGACAAGTTCCTTACTTTCTCCCCCTTCCACTTGCCTCTTCCATTTTTGCGGAAATGCTGCAATTAGTTGGTTGTAATTTTGGGTAGAGTATACATTTCCATATATTTTTGTTAGCTGCATGCGTGACATACACTACCAGAGTGTGCAAAGCTGTCATCAAGGTTAAAGGGCGGAGAATCTCAAAATATAAAATATATTTTGATTTGTTTAACACTTTTTTGGTTACTACATGATTCCATATGTGTTATTTCATAGTTTTGATGCCTTCACTATTATTCTACAATGTAGAAAATTGTAAAAATAAAGAAAAACCCTGGAATGAGTAGGTGTTCTAAAACGTTTGACTGGTACTGTAACTCCACCAGTCCTATTTATGATATAATTTACAAAGATTATACCGTTTTTATTTTTCTGCTCCAAAACTGTTAAAAAAAATATATAAATTAGTATATTTGAATTTAACCATAATATTTGTTGTAATATTTGTTCTGTCTTTTCTGGTGGATTAAACTGAAATTGCAACCAACTTTCTATGGCTTGTTTTAAAAATAGCTATATTTTTGAGATTATTTCATTTTCAAATAACCGAAAGTGAGAGGTTGTAATCTGAATAAAGGGAAAAAGGCCATTCTTCAACATGGGGTGAGCCATTCTTACTAATCTACTAGAGAACCAGTTCGGATTTAAGTATAACAAATAAAATGGAATATTTTTTTCTCATATAATTTAAAAAACTGTTCGCTAGGCGTAGGCAAGACCATAAACAAACTGGGATAATACCAAAGAGTTAATCAGGGTGATTTTTCCACAAATAGCAAGATCCATGGTAGCAAGATCTTATCCTATTTTGCTAACTTTCTATTAACATTTATTGTAGTGAGATCATTTATTTATTTAGGTATATGAATACCGAGTATGTCCACATCACCGTCAGACGATTTTATTGGTAAACTACATGGTAATGTAAAATTTTTATTTTTTAGTGATCCAATTTGGTTGTAATCCAGAGAGGTTAGAAAATGTATCTAGATCCTCTATGAGGCTGTGGAGGGATTCAAGTTGTGGATTTAAAAGAAAACATTAATCATCAGCGTACAATGACACCTTTATTTTTAAGCCCTGGATTTCTAATCCCTTGATATTATTGTTGGATCAGATTTTAATAGCTAACATTTTGTGGTCCTCTGTAGCTCAGCTGGTAGAGCACGGCGCTTGTTACGCCAAGGTAGTGGGTTCGATCCCCGGGACCACCCATACACAAAAATTTATGCACGCATGACTGTAAGTCGCTTTGGATAAAAGTGTCTGCTAAATGGCATATTATTATATATTATTATTGATGGCCATAATAAATAGATATGCCGATAGTGGACAACCTTGTTTTACTCCTCTTGACAGTTTAATACTTTCTGAGAAGTATCCATTATTTACAATTTTACACCTGGGGTTACTATACATCACTTTAACCCATTGTATAAGAAATTCTCCAAATTGAAATATTCCAGGCATTCGGAAATTGCATTCAGTAAGTATTCAAACCCCTTGATTATTTCCACATTTTGTAACATTACAGCCTTATTCTAAAATGTATGTAAACATTTCTTTTCTCATAACTCTACACACAATACCCCATAATGACAAAGTAAAAACAGGTTTTTATAATTTTTTGCAAATGTATTACAAATAAAAACCTGAAATATCACATTTACATAAATATTCAGACCCTTTACTCAGTACTTTGTTGAAGCACTTCTGGCAGCGATTACAGCCTCGAGTCTTCTTGGGTATGACGCCACAAGCTTGGCACACCTGTATTTGGGAAGTTCCTCCCATTATTCTCTGCAGATCTTCTCAAGCTCTATCAGTTTGGATTGGGAGCATTGCTGCACAGCTATTTTCAGGTCTCTCCAGAGATGTTAGATCGGCTTCAAGTCCGGGCTCTCACTGGGCTACTCAAGGACATTCAGAGACTTGTCCCAAAGCCACTCCTGTGTTGTCTTGGCTGTGTGCTTAGGGTCGTTGTCCTGTTGGAAAGTGAACCTTCGCCCCAGTCTGAGGTCCTGAGCGCTCTGGAGCAGGTTTTCATCAAGGATCTCTCTGTACTTTGCTCCGTTCATCTTTCCATCAATCCTGACTAGTTTCCCAGTCCCTGCCGCTGAAAAACATCCCCACAGCATGATGCTGCCACCACCATGCTTCACCGTAGGGATGGTGCCAGGTTTCCTCCAGACGTCATCCAGACACTTGGTATTCAGGCCAAAGAGTTCAATCTGGGTTTCATCAGACCAGAGAATCTAGTTTCTCATGGTCTGAGAGTTCTTTAGGTGCCTTTTGGCAAACTCCAAGCGGGCTGTCATGTGCCTTTTACTGATGAGTGGCTTCCGTCTGGCCACTCTACCATAAAGGCCTGATAGGTGAAGTGCTGCAGAGATGATTGTCCTTCTGGAAGGTTCTAGCATCTCCACAGAGGAACTCAGAGGAACCCGATTGCTGAGTTTGGCCGGGCGGCCAGTGTTGGTGGTTACAAGCTTCTTACATTTAAGAATGATGGAGGCCACTGTGTTCTTGGAGACCTTCAATGCTGCAAAAAAAATTTGGTACCCTTCCCCAGATCTGTGCCTCGACACAATCGACACAATCCTGTCTCGGAGCTCTACGGACAATTCCTTCGACCTAATGGCTTGGTTTTTCTCTGACATGCACTGTCAACTGTGGAACCTTATATAGACAGGTGTGTGCCTTTCCAAATCATGTCCAATCAATTGAATTTACCACAGGTGGACTCCAATCAAGTTGTAGAAACATCTCAAGGATGATCAACGGAAACAGGATGCACCTGAGCTCAATTTCGAGTCCAATAGCAAAGGGTCTGAATACTTATGTATAAGGTATTTCTGTTTTTAATTTGTCATAAATTTGCAAAAATTTCTAAAAACCTGTTTTCGCTTTGTCATTATGGGGTACTGTGTGTAGATTGATTTGTTTTTATTTAATCCATTTTAGAATAAGGCTGTAACATAACAACATTTTGAAAAATGGAAGGGGTCTGAATACTCTCCAAATGCACTTTATATATAAATTCCAGTCTTTATCAAAAGCCTTTTCAAAGTCTGCTATGAATATCAGGCCTGGTTTCCCAGATTTTTCATAGTGTTCTATTGTTTCCAGTACTTGTTTTATGTTATCTCCAATGTATCTTCCATGTAAAAAACCTGTCTGATTAGGATGAAAAATATCCAACAATACCTTTTTAAATTCTATGCGCTATGCATTTTGCTAGAATTTTTGCGTCAGAACACTGAAGTGTAAGGGGCCTCCAATTTTTTTAAATGGACTGAATCTTTATATTTACCACCTGGGTCCTGTTTCAGTAATAATAAAATCAGACGTTCTTGTTGAGTATCTAATAATCTACCATTTTTATAGGAGTGGTTAAAACATGTATATATATATATATACCTGAAGACACTATAACTACCTGATAGGCAGAGTGGGATCATTCCTGGACATCTTCTGTTCGATGGGAATCTGCTCCCATTTAAAGTGTAAACTCCAGTCAAACCCTGAGAGAAAGAGAGAGATAAAAGTTATGAGATGGCTAGTGAAAGTGACTGCTGTGCGTGGTGGGGGTTATGAGATGGCTGTGGTGGGGGTTATCAGATGGCTAGTGAAAGTGAATGCTGTGCGTGGTGGGGGTTATGAGATGGCTAGTGAAACTGACTGCTGAGCGTGGTGGGGGTTATGAGATGGCTAGTGAAAGTGACTGCTGTGCGTGGTGGGGGTTATGAGATGGCTAGTGAAAGTGAATGCTGTGCGTGGTGGGGGTTATGAGATGGCTAGTGAAAGTGACTGCTGTGCGTGGTGGGGGTTATGAGGTGGCTAGTGAAAGTGACTGCTGTGAGTGGTGGGGGTTATGAGATGGCTAGTGAAAGTGACTGCTGTGCGTGGTGGGGGGTTATGAGATGGCTAGTGAAAGTGACTGCTGAGCGTGGTGGGGGTTATGAGATGGCTAGTGAAAGTGAATGCTGTGCGTGGTGGGGGTTATGAGATGGCTAGTGAAAGGGACTGCTGAGCGTGGTGGGGGTTATGAGATGGCTAGTGAAAGTGAATGCTGTGCGTGGTGGGGGTTATGAGATGGCTAGTGAAAGGGACTGCTGAGCGTGGTGGGGGTTATGAGATGGCTAGTGAAAGTGAATGCTGTGCGTGGTGGGGGTTATGAGATGGCTAGTGAAAGTGACTGCTGTGCGTGGTGGGGGTTCAGAGATGGCTAGTGAAAGTGAATGCTGTGCGTGATGGGGGTTATGAGATGGCTAGTGAAAGTGACTGCTGAGCGTGGTGGGGGTTATGAGATGACTAGTGAAAGGGACTGCTGAGCGTGGTGGGGGTTATGAGATGGCTAGTGAAAGTGACTACTGTGCGTGGTGGGGATTATGAGATGGCTAGTGAAAGTGACTGCTGTGCGTGGTGGGGGTTATGAGATGGCTAGTGAAAGTGAATGCTGTGCGTGGTGGGGGTTATGAGATGGCTAATGAAAGTGACTGCTCTGCGTGGTGGGGGTTATGAGATGGCTAGTGAAAGTGAATTCTGTGCGTGGTGGGGGCTATGAGATGGCTAGTGAAAGTGACTGCTGTGCATGGTGGGGGTTATGAGATGGCTAGTGAATGGGACTGCTGTGCGTGGTGGGGGTTATGAGGTGGCTAGTGAAAGTGAATGCTGTGCGTGGTGGGGGTTATGAGATGGCTGTGGTGGGGGTTATGAGATGGCTAGTGAAAGTGAATGCTGTGCGTGGTGGGGGTTATGAGGTGGCTAGTGAAAGTGACTGCTGAGCGTGGTGGGGGTTATGAGATGGCTAGTGAAAGTGACTGCTGTGCGTGGTGGGGGTTATGAGGTGGCTAGTGAAAGTGAATGCTGTGCGTGATGGGGGTTATGAGATGGCTAGTGAAAGTGACTGCTGAGCGTGGTGGGGGTTATGAGATGGCTAGTGAAAGGGACTGCTGAGCGTGGTGGGGGTTATGAGATGGCTAGTGAAAGTGACTGCTGTGCGTGGTGGGGATTATGAGATGGCTAGTGAAAGTGACTGCTGTGCGTGGTGGGGGTTATCAGATGGCTAGTGAAAGTGAATGCTGTGCGTGGTGGGGGTTATGAGATGGCTAGTGAAAGTGACTGCTGAGCGTGGTGGGGGTTATGAGATGGCTAGTGAAAGTGACTGCTGTGCGTGGTGGGGGTTATGAGATGGCTAGTGAAAGTGAATGCTGTGCGTGGTGGGGGTTATGAGATGGCTAGTGAAAGTGACTGCTGTGCGTGGTGGGGATTATGAGATGGCTAGTGAAAGTGACTGCTGTGCATGGTGGGGGTTATGAGATGGCTAGTGAAAGTGACTGCTGTGCGTGGTGGGGGTTATGAGATGGCTAGTGAAAGTGACTGCTGTGCGTGGTGGGGGTTATCAGATGGCTAGTGAAAGTGAATGCTGTGCGTGGTGGGGGGTTATGAGATGGCTAGTGAAAGTGAATGCTGTGCGTGGTGGGGGTTATGAGATGGCTAGTGAAAGTGAATGCTGTGCGTTGTGGGGGGTTATGAGATGGCTAGTGAAAGTGAATGCTGTGCGTGGTGGGGGGTTATGAGATGGCTAGTGAAAGTGAATGCTGTGCGTGGTGGGGGTTATGAGGTGGCTAGTGAAAGTGAATGCTGTGCGTGGTGGGGGTTATGAGATGGCTAGTGAAAGTGAATGCTGTGTGTGGTGGGGGTTATGAGATGGCTAGTGAAAGTGAATGCTGTGCGTGGTGGGGGTTATGAGATGGCTAGTGAAAGTGAATGCTGTGCGTGGTGGGGGTTATGAGATGGCTAGTGAAAGTGACTGCTGTGCGTGGTGGGGATTATGAGATGTCTAGTGAAAGTGACTGCTGTGCATGGTGGGGGTTATGAGATGGCTAGTGAAAGTGACTGCTGTGCGTGGTGGGGGTTATGAGATGGCTAGTGAAAGTGAATGCTGTGCGTGGTGGGGGTTATGAGATGGCGGTTATGAAATGGCTAGTGAAAGTGACTGCTGTGCGTGGTGGGGGTTATGAGATGGCTAGTGAAAGTGACTGCTGTGCGTGGTGGGGGTTATGAGATGGCTAGTTAGCACTGTCTCCTGAGTGGCGCAGTGTCTCCTGAGTGGCGCAGTGGTCTAAGGCACTGCATCGCAGTGCTAACTGTGTCACTAGAGATCCTGGTTCGAATCCAGGCTCTGTCGCAGCCGGCCGCGACCGGGGAGACTCATGGGCGGCGCACAATTGGCCCAGCGTCGTCCAGTGTAGGGGAGGGAATGGCCGGCAGGGATGTAGCTCAGTTGATAGAGCATGGTGTTTGCAACGCCAGGGTTGTGGGTTCGATTCCCACGTGGGGCCAGTATAAAAAAATATATATATATATATATATATATGTATTCACTAACTGTAAGTCGCTCTGGATAAGAGCGTCTGCTAAATGACTAAAATGTAATGTAAATGTAGTGAAAGTGACTGCTGTGCGTGGTGGGGGTTATGAGATGGCTAGTGAAAGGGACTGCTGTGCGTGGTGGGGGTTATGAGATGGCTAGTGAAAGTGAATGCTGTGCGTGGTGGGGGGGTTATGAGATGGCTAGTGAAAGTGACTGCTGTGCGTGGTGGGGATTATGAGATGGCTAGTGAAAGTGACTGCTGTGCATGGTGGGGGTTATGAGATGGCTAGTGAAAGTGACTGCTGTGCGTGGTGGGGGTTATGAGATGGCTAGTGAAAGTGACTGCTGTGCGTGGTGGGGGTTATCAGATGGCTAGTGAAAGTGAATGCTGTGCGTGGTGGGGGTTATGAGATGGCTAGTGAAAGTGACTGCTGTGCGTGGTGGGGATTATGAGATGGCTAGTGAAAGTGACTGCTGTGCATGGTGGGGGTTATGAGATGGCTAGTGAAAGGGACTGCTGTGCGTGGTGGGGATTATGAGATGGCTAGTGAAAGTGACTGCTGTGCGTGGTGGGGGTTATGAGATGTCTAGTGAAAGTGAATGCTGTGCGTGGTGGGGGTTATGAGATGGCTAGTGAAAGTGACTGCTGTGCGTGGTGGGGGTTATGAGATGGCTAGTGAAAGTGACTGCTGTGCGTGGTGGGGGTTATGAGATGGCTAGTGAAAGTGACTGCTGTGCGTGGTGGGGATTATGAAGATTGTACCCACACGTTAGAGGTTATGTTCTGAGTACTGACCTCCCCTCAGGTCGGCTGAAGCTGCCAAGTAGGCGAAGTTATCCAGGCTGATGACATCGATGATGGGGCTGACCACCCGGGTATGGTCCTGGGAAGAGGAGAGAGAGACAGGGACATAGTGCACGGTCACACATAATGGCAAAGGTGCATAAAGATGGCGGTCCCCATGTCCTTCCCGCAAACGCCTCGTTTGCTAAGTCTGCTGTATTGTACATTGCTCTCCGTTACTCTTTTTGTATCAGCATTAGCACAGTATACATGATCCCAATTCTAGCTCCAAGACGGAGTCAATTTGAGAAAACTAAAAAGTAGACTGTGCTGATTTACTGGCACACTGAACCATGTCGCACGCCGTAGTTTAACAACTCTGTGAGTAGTGCTGAAACGATGACGTCATATCTGAACGTCCTTATGCACCTTTGCCATTAGATACAGTTTTACTTTATTTAGGACATTTGTGCAATCATAGAGGGGAGATGAGAGAAACGATATGAAGGAGCGGGGGTTGAACCCTGACCTCTGGTGGGGAGAGGAGAACTGGGGACGATACTGCTAGAACACAGGCTGTGCCAACCAGAAGATGAGAACGCAGGAATTTGCGTATAAAAAAATGAAAATATTAAAGATGTTTTTATTTATACCGGTAAATTTGTGCTTAGTATTGTTTTCTTTGACAACTGTGGTGTAAGTGGGATAAACGGCTTAAACAAACGCAACGCAAATAAACGTTTCTGTTATTCTGGTTGCAAAGGTCGTGACTGTGTAGCCATAATGCTAGCTAGTTGGCTGGCTAGCAGCTAGCAAGGGCTAAGAACGCTGAGCGACGGAACATAGAGAACGAAGGACTGGGTCGCGTCCGTAAATATCGAACTAAACGAACAAACGACTGGGTCGCGTCCGTAAATATCGAACTAAACGAACAAACGACTGGGTCGCGTCCGTAAATATCGAACTAAACGAACAAACGACTGGGTCGTGTCTGTAAATATCGAACTAAACGAACAAACGACTGGGTCGCGTCCGTAAATATCGAACTAAACGAACAAACGACTGGGTCGCGTCCGTAAATATCGAACTAAACGAACAAACGACTGGGGGGAATATCGAAAACCTAAACGAAAAACGACTGGGTCGCGTCCGTAAATATCGAACTAAACGAACAAACGACTGGGTCGCGTCCGTAAATATCGAACTAAACGAACAAACGACTGGGTCGCGTCCGTAAATATCGAACTAAACGAACAAACGACTGGGTCGCGTCCGTAAATATCGAACTAAACGAACAAACGACTGGGTCACGTCCGTAAATATCGAACTAAACAAACAAACGACTGGGTCGCGTCCGTAAATATCGAACTAAACGAACAAACGACTGGGTCGCGTCCGTAAATATCGAACTAAACGAACAAACGACTGGGTCGCGTCCGTAAATATCGAACTAAACGAACAAACGACTGGGTCGTGTCCGTAAATATCGAACTAAACGAACAAACGACTGGGTCGCGTCTCTAGCAACCAAAAGATGAGAAAGTATGAATTCTCGTATAAAAATATTAAAGAAAATGTTTTATTTCTACCGATTAATGTGTGCTTTAGTATTGTTTCCTTTGGCAACTGTGGTATAAAATGAACTCCGCAAAGGGACTCGGTTCCACCACGACCCACTGTGTCGTCCATTATTTATGAGTGTGTGTTTGTGTTTGTGAGTGTGAGTGTGTGTGTGTTTGTGAGTGTGTGTTTGTGAGTGTGTGTGTGTTTGTGTTTGTGAGTGTGAGTGTGTTTGTGAGTGTGTGTTTGTTTAGTGTTGTGTGTTTTTGTTTAGTGTGTGCTTTTGTGATTTTTTGTGTGTGTGTGTGTGTGTGTTTGTGAGTGTGTGCTTGTTTGTGTGTGTATTTGTTTGTGAGTGTGTGTTTGTGAGTGTGTGTTTGCGAGTGTGTTTGCGAGTGTGTGTGTGTGAGTGTGTGTGTGTAAGTGTGTGTTTGTGAGTGTGTGTGTGTGTGAGTGTGTGTTTGTGAGTGTGGAGAGGAGAGGAGAAGGAGAGGTGGGGAGAGGAGAGGAGAGGAGGGGAAAAGAGGGGAGAGCATGAAACAGCACTCAGCCAGAGAGCTTTGGGAAGAGCCACTCTCAACAGCTTGAAACAATAACTCTTTTATAGGGTTATTTAATGATCACTCTGAGTGTGTGTGTGTGAGTGAGTGTGTGTGTGTTTGTGAGTGTGTGTTTGTGAGTGTGTGTTTGTTTGTGAGTGTATGTGTGTGAGTCAGTGTGTATCTTACGGTGGATTAGCTTTACAAAGGGAAAGTCAAACAGACTGTTTCCAATTAGAACCCTGACTGCATCCCAAATGGCACCCTATTCCCTATATAGTGCACTACTTTAGACCAGAGAATGGCACCCTATTCCCTATATAGTGCACTACTTTAGTCCCATAGGGAATAGCGCACCATTTGGGATGCAGGCTTGTTCTTTTTATAGAGTGATTGAAACCAGTGTGAACTCTGTGGTGTTGGTTCAGCCAGTCATGTGCAGAGGAGGAGAGGAGAGGGAGGAGCGAGGAGAGAGGGGAGAGGGACCGAAGACGGGTCGAGGAAAGGACCGGCGGAAGAGAGACGGAGAGGAGAGGACGAGAGGAGAGGAGAGGAGAGGATGAAGGAGGAGGGCAGAGTGATGAGGAGAAGGAGAGGAGAGGAGAGGGGAGAGGAAGAGGATGAGGGGAGACGGCAAAGAGTGAGGAGAGGTCAGCTGAACAATCTTTATAGGTTTTTTGATCCTCTGCTCTTCAAAACAAGGAGAAGTCAACGTGTTCCTCCTGACTGGAATGAAACCCGGGCGGTTGAAAGGGCTAAGAAGAGAGGGAAATGGGGAGCAGAAAAGCAAAACCCCCAAAAAGAGGAGAGGGGGAAAAGGGGAAGAGGGAGGAAAAGGAGAGGAGAGGAGACGAGAGGAAGGAAGAGAGAAGAGGGGTTTAGGGAGGGAAGGAGAGGAGAGGAGAGGAGAGAGAGGAGGGGAGAGGAGGGAGAGGAGGGAGAGGGAGGGAGAGGAGGAGGGAGAGGAGAGGGAGGAAGGAGAGGGAGAGCGTTTTGGAAAAAGAGTAGGGGAAGGAGGGGGAAAGGAAGAGACGTGAAAACAGCATCACCGATGAGACGCTTTGGAAGAGCGACTCTAAAACATGAAACTAACATTATACTGCGATTGAAAATACTTTGAGCTACTAAACACAGGACCTCAAACAGAGGAAAAAAAGAAAGGATCAAAGAAGAACCTCCCAGCTCGAAGAGAAAGAGAGAGACCGAAACGACCTAAAGAGGAAAGAGAAAAGAGCTACATATAAGCACCATATAGAGCTCTCGGAAAGAGAGAGTACGAGGAGAAAGGAGTCTAAAGAGATAAAGAAAAGAAAGAAAGACGATCAAGAGCGAAAAAGAGGGAAAAGAAAGAGATGAAAGATGGAACCTCTCCTCCTCCTCCCCGAAAGAGAAAGAGAGTAACAGAGAGATCTTCCCTTTTTCCCTCTTTCTTCCCTCTCTCCTCCCTCTCCCCCTCTCCCTCTTCATCTCCTCCCTTCCCTCCCTCTCATCTCCCCTCCCTCTCCCTCTCTCCCTCCTCTCCTCTCTCTCCCTCTCTCCTCCCTCCCTCTTATTATATGCATTTCTCCTTAGTTTTCCTTCCGTCATCACAGTGTAATGTCACATTGAGCCCCAGCACAGCGCTGTATTCAAAGAGGCAGGAAGGGGAGAGGGGACAGTCACAGTGCTCTGTCTGACATAAGGTCGTTAGCGTGTTTGTTTTTCTGAACCCTGTGTCACATTCCTCCAGCCATTCCTCTCTGGGGGATGTGATGCCAGAGAGAGAGGCTTGACTGACTGCAGAGAGGAGGACCATGGTTAACCCTGGTGTGAAGGAGGATAATGTACCATGGTTAACCCTGGTGTGAAGGGGGATAATGTACCATGGTTAACCCTGGTGTGAAGGGGGATAATGTAAGTTGATTGAGTCCCAGAAGCCCCAGAGCAGAGAAGTGATGTGAAAGACAGAGGGGGAGCAGAATGATGTTGATATGGTGGTGTAGAATCTGATGGGATTTATAGAGAGATTACACAGACCCACAAAGAATCCGAAAAACAAATCCAATTTTGATAAACTCCCCTATCTTTTGGGTGAAATACCACAGTGCGCAATCACAGAAGCAATATTTGTGACCTGTTGCCACAAGAAAAGGGCAACCAGTGAAGAACAAACACCACTATAAATACAACCCATTTTTATGTTTATTTATTTTCCCTTTTGTACATTAACTATTTGCACATCACAAATACTGTGTTACAACACTGTATATAGACATATGACATTTGAAATGTCTTTATTCTTTTGTAACTTCTGAGTGTAACGTTTACTGTTCATTTTTTATTGTTTATTTCACTTTTGTTTATTATCTATTTCACTTGCTTTGGCGACGTAAACTTGTGTTTCCCATGCCAATAAAACCCCCTTAAATTGAAGAGGTGTTGGGGTGGGGGTGAGGGAGAGAGAGTGGTGTTGGGGTGGGCAGTGAGAGGTTTTGGGGTGGGCAGTGAGAGAGTGAGTGAGGGAGGGAGAGAGGTGTGTGTGTGTGTGTGTGTGTGTGTGTGTGTGTGTGTGTGTACCTCTTTGACCCTCTGGATCATGGGCTGGAGCCAGTCAGTGTTGACTTCACAGTGGCTGTCCAGGAAGGTCAGGATTGCGGCGGAGGCAGCTCCCGCCCCTCGCACCCGGGACCGGATCAGACCTTGGAGGAACACAGAGCGAGATAAGAATATCAGTATGGGATATACAGCTAGAAAGAAACCCGCTAGTCAGACACAATAGTAAGTAAGTCAGCCTTGGGCGGCCCATAGGGCAGGAGCCTATCTCCTGATTCTGTAGTGTGAGGCAGTTTGACGGCCCATAGGGCAGGAGCCTATCTCCTGATTCTGTAGTGTGAGGCAGTTTGATGTACAAGTACCCCTGGACAGGACACTAGTCAGACACAGTGCAGAAATTAACACAAACACTCTCCAAAACAGCAATGAATACAGACACTCTCCAAAACAGCAATGAACACAGAGACTCTCCAAAACAGACGTTAACACAGATACTCTCCAAAACAGACGTTAACACAGATACTACTACAGTAGTTCTTCTTCTTCTCTTAGGCATTAGTATTTTTGTTTCCCCGTCTAGTCTCTGGTCTCTCTCCCTGTTGGCTGTCTCCTCACAACTCCCCTGTGCAACACGCCCACCCACACACATACAAACACTACCAACGAGAGCGTCTGATAAATGGCATATTATTATTATTATTATAAACACTACCAACGGGACGGGGCTGTTTCTCCATGCTCCGTCGTGACCGGACAGCGTTTCTCCATGCTCCGTCGTGACCGGACAGCGTATCTCCATGCTCCGTCGTGACCGGACAGCGTTTCTCCATGCTCCGTCGTGACCGGACAGCGTTTCTCCATGCTCCGTCGTGACCGGACAGCGTTTCTCCATGCTCCGTCGTGACCGGACAGTGTTTCTCCATGCTCCGTCGTGACCGGACAGCGTTTCTCCATGCTCCGTCGTGACCAGACAGCGGACTCGGGCAAAACCAAAGGGTGGAGGGGTGTGCCTCTTTGTAAACAACAACTAGTGCGCTGCTTTAAGTGGTGAAGGAAGTCTCGACCTTTTGCTCACCTGAACTAGAATACCTCATTGTAAATTGCAGACCTTTTTATCTACCAAGAGAGTTTTCCTCTGAAATCATCAATCTACATTCCACCACAAATGATAATGGCACTAAAGCAGACACTCAACGAGCTGTACAGGGCCATAAACAAACTAGAGGCGCTAACACTCTGGACCACTTTTACTCTACCCACTGAAACGCACACAAGGCCCTCCCTCGCCCTCCCTTCTGTAAATCAGACCATGACTCCATCCTCCTTCTTCCTTGTTACAAGCGAAAACTCAAACAGGAAGTACCAGTGACGCGCTCAGTATGAAAGTGGTCTGACGAAGAGGACGCTAAGTTACAAGACTGCTTCGTTAGCACAGACTGGAATATGTTCTGGGATTCATCCGATAACATTGAGGAGTTTACCCCATCAAACACAAGTGCATGGATGACATCGTCCCCACAGTGACCGTACGTACGACAGATTTCCACCGGTCTACTGTCCATTGCTCGTGTTTCTTGGTCCAAGCAAGTCTCTTCTTTTTATTGGTGTCCTTTAGTAGTGGTTTTGACTGGTACTGTACATTTCGCAACCAGAAGCCATGGATTACAGGCAGCATCCGCGCTGGGCTAAAGGCTAGAGCTACCGCTTTCACGAAACCGGACACAGACATGGACGCTTACAAGAAAGCCCGCTACGACTTCCGACGAGCCATCAAACATGGAAAAGGTACATTTAGGATTAAGATAGAATCCTACTACACCGGCTATTACGGAAACCCAGCCGTGAGTTGCCCGGTGACGCAAACCTCCCAGACGAACTGAATGTCGTCTATGCTCACGTCGAGCCAAACAACACTGAGCCAGGCGTGAGAGCCCCTGCTGTCCCAAACAACTGTGTGATCTCGCTCTCCAGGGCACGTTCTCAGAGCGCTGACCAGCTGGCAAGAGTTCTTCACGGACATTTTGAACATCTCCTTGTCCCAGTCTGTAATACCTACATGTTTCAAGCAGACCACCATTGTCCCTGAGCAGACCACCATTGTCCCTGAGCAGACCACCATTGTCCCTGTTCCCAATAACTCAAAGGTAACCTGCCTAAACGACCATCGTCCCGTAGCACTCACATCTGTAACCATGAAATGCTTTGAAAGGCTGGTCACGGCACACATCAACACCATCATCCCAGACACCCTAGACCCACTCCAATTTGCATACCGCCTCAACAGATCCACAGATGACGAAATCTCTATTGCACTCCACACTGCTCTCTCCCACCTGGACAAGAGGAATATCTACGTGAAAAAGCTGTTCATTGACTACAGATCAGCATTTAACACCATAGTCGCTTCCAAGCTCATCACCAAGCTTGGGACCCTGGACTAAACACCTCCCTCTGCAACTGGATCCTGGACTTCCTGACGGGCCGCCCCCCAGGTGGCGAGGGTAGGCAACAACACATCTGCCACGCTGACCCTCAACACGGGGGCACCTCAAGGGTGTGTGCTTAGTCCCTTCCTGTACGCCCTGCTCACCCAGGACTGCGTGGCCGCGCACGACTCCAACATGATCATCAAGTTTACTGACAACACAACGGTGGTAGGCCTGATGATACCGATGACAATGAAAGCCTGGCAGTGACCTGGCCTACAGAGAGGAGGTCAGAGACCTGGCAGTGTGGTGCCAGGACAACAACCTCTCCCTCAATGTCAGCAAGACAAATTAGCTGAACGTGGACTACAGGATACGGAGGGTGTGAGCATGCCCCCATCCACATCGACGTGGCTGTAGTTGTCCTCTCACACCAGCATAGTTGTGAAGAAGGCACGACAACGCCTCTTCCTCCTCAGGAGGTTGAAAAGATTTGGCATGGGCCCTCAGATCCTCAAAACGTTCTATAGCTGCA